CCTGTCCACCACCAACTCCTGGAGTTTACCCATACCCATGTCCATTGAGTCGGTGATGCCATCCAACCATCTCATCCTCTGTCATGCCCTTCTCCTCCTGCCTTCAATCTTTCCCAGCATCAGGGTCTTTTCCAATGAGTCAGCTCTTTGCATCAGGTGGCCCAAGTACTGAAGTTTCAGCTTCAACATCAGTCCTTCCAATGAACACCCAGGACTGATCTCCTTTAGGATGGACTGGTTGGATCTCCTTGCAGTCCAAGGGACTCTCAAGAGTCTTCTCCAACACCACAGTTCAAAAGCATCAATTATTCGGTGCTCAGCTTTCTTTATAGTCCACCTTTCACATCCATACATGACCACTGCTACGGCTATTTAGTGAGAGCTAAATGAGAGTTGTCAGGCTTTCCTGGTGGCTCAGTGGTAAAGAATCCACTGGCCAGTGCAGAAGACATGGGTTCGATCCCTGGGTAGAGAAGATCCCCTGGAGAAGGAAATGGCAACCCACTCCAGTATTCTTGCCTGGTGAAATCCCACGGACAGAGGAGCCTGGTGGGCTACAGCTCACGTGGTCGTAGAGTCTGGCATGACTGAGCAACTAAACAACAACAACAGCAAATGAGAGTTAAAACTAAAGCTACCACACAATTTATAAGTGAAAGCTGCAGAGTTTATGATTTAGAAATGATTAATATTTGGATAGTAGAAACTCTAGTATCCATTCTTCTGAAAACTTATAGAGGCATAGGTGATAACTCTATTCCTAAAAGATTTGGGGGTTTTTCTATGAGGTGAACAGAAATTGGAGATATTTAACATATTAAATGAATTATTGAGTTTAATGTCCTTTATTCTAATAGTGGGAAGCTTTGAGACTACTGATAAATTTAGAGGCAGATGTTTTAGTTATTGACTTTAGTCTGTGAGGAATTACATGAACTCATTTAGAGAGCTGTGTGGCAAGTTCAAGGCCTTTTTTCTTTGTAAGAATCTAGAAGTTATTTTTTTCCTGAATATGCTAACATTACCACAGTTGACTGAAAAAAAAAAGGAGCAATTCAGGCTTTTTAGCATTGACTCCATTGATGCATGGATATTATATTCTCTTGTCAAACATTAATTATTCTATTATCATTGAATTATATATATAATAATTTATGTGTATATGCTCACAGGTATATATAAAGAGAGAATTTATTAATAATGTGAAATAATGACATAAACTGGTTTCACTAAAGCAGTATTTCAGAGAAGATCTGGCTTTTCTATGTAACTGAAAATTTATGTCTGTTCTTGTTTGCATGGCTATTGTGTGGAAAGTAGATTGTAGACAATAAGAATGGAAGTATGCTGATAAAGAGTAGACTAATGCAAAATCTGAGCTCGTATGTGGTAGCTTGGAATGACTGCACTTGAGAGCAGATATTGACAAATTGATGCAGGGACAAGAGAGAGAAACAAATCTAGGTTTTTAGCTTGAGCATCCATGTGACAGGTGATGTCATTTGCTGAGGTGGAGAAGAGCGAGGGAGGAGGTGGTGTGGGAGACCTTAGGAGACAGAACAGCAGTCTGAGAATGTCACATTTCAGTTCACATTGTTTGTTTATATGTGGTTCCACTAAGCAAGTAATTCAGTAAGTCAGTCTGGTTGGCCAAGGAGATTTGTATATAAATGGTAGGGGTCATCAAAATTATAGAACTGAGTTGTGCTACAGGGCCATATATGATGGAAGGAGAAATTTTTTTTTTTTTTTTTCCTAAAGAGAAGGGGATCTGTGGGAAAAGTTTTGGGGGAAGTAATTAAAGATCATGGAGGAAAGGGTAAACCAACTGAGATCTTGAAAGGGAAGATAGTAATGTAGGAGAAAACCAAAGAATAGATGGTATTAATAAAGGAAAAAGGAGAATGTGTTTTAAGGAGCTGTCAGTGGTCAATTGTTGGAAACCTGGATGAGATAGAAAGTAAGAAGAGAGAAGGGAACAATGGATTTGACAAAATGGAGGCCAACAAAGAACTTGACACAAATGGAAGAAATCTTTTTTTTTAATGAAAAACACATGTTTTTGATTCTAATAAAGCTTTATAGATAGAAAAGGGGCCAAACACAAGGAAAAGTGTTCTTGAGGTCAGGAGATAGGACCAACAGGTTAAATAGAATGTCTTGATTTGAATGAAGACATTTAGCTGCAATAAATAGATGGTAAGTAAGGGTGTAGGGCCTTCCCCGGTAGCTCAGACAGTAAAGCGTCTGCCTACAATACAGGAGACCCAGGTTTGATCCCTGGGTCAGGAAGATCCCCTGGAAAAGGAAATGGCAACCCACTCCAGTACCGTTGCCTGGAAAATCCCATGGACGGAGGAGCTTGGTAGGCTACAGTCCACAGGGTCGCAAAGAATCGGACACGACTGAGCAACTTCACTTTCACTTTCACTTTTCAGAGGGTGTAGGGACTTTCAGTTAAGATGCATTTTTTCTCTCATGTTTCATGTAGCACAGATACTGGAGGTGAGGGTGAGCACCCTTTGTACTGCCATTACAGTTTTCAAACTAGTTTTCTTTTCCCTTCCAAACTCTCAACTCTTGGCAGAATGCATCACCACACTTCACTCAAAACCTTTCCTGTTGCTATCCAGCACCAAATATACAGTAATCACACTGATTTGTTGAGTCTTTTAGTACTCAGATTATTTTGTCTTTCTCTACCATCACTTTTGGCATGATGATCAGTATCTGGCCTCTCACTTTCTTAGTCTTTTTGAATTTAATGATCTGTTTCTTTGCCCCAGTTTTGTCATAGATTCTTATGAACATACCCTTGGCTTGTTAACTCTGAGCTGCTGTTGAAAATTTACTTAAAAAAAAAAAAAAGAAAGAAAGAAAATTTACTTGAAGCATCTACTCTCTATCTGCTACCTCCCACCTCAGCAATTCTGGATCCTGAGGAAGTCCTGCCACTTGGTGATGCTACCATGTCATGTCAATCTGCCTTCTCATATTTTCTCCATTCCCTCTTATGAACTTAGAGACCCTGGGTCTTCTTTATCACTCCTCCTGGGCAGATGTCCGAATCTACCATACTCTTCTCCTTTGATTGCCCATACCTGGCTAAAACCAACCCTCTCCTTCACACACATCTGCAAACAAGCAAGACAGACAAATAGGATGACTGGCTTCACATTAAATTAATGGACATAAGTCTCAAAGGAGCAATCCACAATGTGTAGCTTATTCCATTATACTCTCCCTAGTCTATGTATTTTTGGTCTCTTCTAAAAAAAGGAATTCTCTCTGCTCCTCAGACCACCTTCTCCTTTTTGTCTTAGCTGATAATCTTGTCTCCTATGCCATCAAGAAAACAGAAGCCATTAGATAGCTTTCTAATATTCTGAATACCCAAATACCTATTGCTGCACGAAGACAGTAGTGTTTGCTGGTTTGTGGTCAATTTTTTTGGTAACCTTTTTTGAGGTCTTCTCTTTCCTTTTTATGTTCCTTGCATCTTGTTATAGAGCAGAGTAGTAGTAGATGATTCTATTTAATAATCATCAGTTAAGTACTCAGGAAGCATAGAATACTTTCTGAAATTGGGTGTGTGTTTATTTGTCCATTCATTTGTTTTTAAATGACAGTCCTTATTTCACCCAAGTAGAAAGATTGTGAGTGCCTTTGAAGATAGTCATTATTGAGCAAAGGGTGCATTTTGTATATGGAACAAAAAATAGCATAATTGAATAAGAATACAAGTAGAGCACTAGTTTTTCACTAATGTTTGGATAGCAGATATTTTGAGAAAATGTTTGTATAATTTGAGGGAGTTTTAAAGATTTTTATTTCATATTGGATTGTAGTTGACTTACAGTGTTGTTTCAGGTATATAGCAAAGTGGTTCAGTTATACATATATACACTTTTTTTTCTTTAGATCCTTCCCCACGAAGACCATTGCAGGGTTTTGAGTAGAGTTCCCCGCGCTATGCAGTAGGTCCTTATTAGTTATCCATTTTATATAGTATTGTGTTTGTATCAATCCCAGTGTCTCAGTTTATTCCTCCCTGCTTTCGCCCTGGTGACCATAGTTTGTTTTCTGCATCTGTGACTACCTTCTATTTTACTTTGCACCTTTTTTTAGATTATAAGCTATATCATTTGATACTTGTCTTTCTGACTTCACTCAATATGACTATCTCTAGGCTCATCCATGTTGCTGCAAATGACATTATTCTGTCCTTTTCTATGGCTGATTAATACTTTATTGAATGTATGTACCACATCTTTATCCATTCCTCTTTTGATGGACGTTTAGGCTGCTTCCATGTCTTGCTATTGTAAATAGTGCTGCAGTGAACATCGGATATATGTATCTTACCAAATTATGGTTTTCTCCATATATGTGGCCAGGAGTGGTTTTCTTTTTCTTTTTTTAAGGAACCTCCATCCTGTTTTCTCTAGTGCTTGTACCAGTTTACATTCCTACCAACAGTGCACCAGGGCTCCCTTTTCTGCACGGTGCGGGGTTCATGAAACATGTCTGTGGTCCCTGAGTAAGTGATACAAAAAGAAGAAAGGTTAAGATCAGGCTGGAGTTATTGAGACACAAGATGTTATTCAGTATATGTGAATGGGTGAGTTATCTATATGTATTTCATTTTAGAGGGACCTCTAATCATGACCAGGGATACTAAATATGTTGTAAATGCTTTTTAGGAGCCACTGTTTGGAGTTTATAATGGCATATTCAAATCTACTTGGAAGATAATTATGCTAATTATATGATTGTTTTTTATTTTGTACTGTTGGACAGAAAAGCAGAGGTTACTGACAAGCAGATGATGAATCAACTAGAACATTGGTGCAGTTTTAAACCAGGCATATTCTATGTTAATATGACAGATTGTTGAGTCAGCAGAATTTGGTGATTTGATGTGCAATTAGCAAAATAAATAGAGCAAATTATAATCAGATATAAATATTGAAGTGCTTTTTTATTTTTTTAAATATTAGGTATTCAATTGACAGAAACACAGATTTGGAGAGATACTTCAACATCGATGCCAACAGTGGAGTTATTACAACTGCCAAATCTTTAGATCGAGAGACGAACGCTGTTCACAATATCACAGTCCTTGCAATGGAGAGCCGTAAGTTGTAAGGTTTAACATTAAATTAGGATGGAGGACATTGAGAGTAGAGAATGGGCTGCCATGAATTTATAATTTCAACTTGAATTTTACTAGATACTTGTTTGTATTCAGTAAAATTTTGAAACTCCCTAATTTCAAGGTGTGAAATATACTTTCATTTTCTAACTTGGTTTGCTAATACTTAGAAAGTTAATGGAATGCAGTTACCATAAAATAATGGGCCTGATTTACCCTCAGCCAGTTTCTTCCTGTCTCGTGGTCATATTTCATGTGCTGCATCTATGCTGACATGGGTTAGTTCAGTAGCTTACAAAAATAGTCAACTGGTCTCTAACCAGACACTCAAGTTTGTATTCTCTAAACTAATTTTGGTCCTTGATGAGAGAAACTTTGAGAACAATGCACAATTACATTGTATGCATGTTTATAATATGGTATATATATACATAGGTAATATGCATAGATGTATTCATTTATTCATATATATATGAATTGATGAATTCATATATTCATAGGTAATATTATAGATATATTCATACAAAAGGAACTCTCGCATCAGATAGTATTTAAATTCATTGCTTCTTTGTCACTGTTGTGTGTATATGACATTTGGATCAGAATTTCTGTTGCTCTCTTTAAAATCTGCAATGTTATGATTCTAGATTTTACTTGAAGCATGGTCATTTACTTATTAGATTTGTGCTTTAGAGGCAGACATTTTTGATTGATTCTAACTGTTCATAATATAAGTTTCTTAAGAAAGATGGCATTGGAGTAATAGCTTTACTCTAAGCAGAGATCAGAGGTTACAGGTTCAATTCCAGCCACCTGCACTAAAGTGAGTATTAAAGTGATGAGTCACAAGTTTTGGTTTTCCAGTGCATATGAAAGTTATACTAATCAGTAGTCTGTGAAGTGTGCAATAAATAGTATTATGTCTAGAGAAACAACATTGACACCCTAAGAAATATTTTAATGCCAAAGATTGCTGTCATCTGAACCTTCAGATGTAAGAATATTAGGAACATCAGAGGTCACCATAACACATAATAAATATGTTTTGAAATATTGTGAGAATTACCAAAAATGGGACAGAGACATGAGGTAGGTGAGCCGGTATTGTTGCAGAAATGGGACTGATGGATGTGCTTGATGAAGAGTTGGCATACACCTTCAATTTGTAGGACACAAAATCTCTACAAAGCACATTCAAGCAAAGTGCAATAGAACGAGGTGTGCCTGTAAATGAGAAAATCTTCTCCTCTTTACTAGAGAATCCATCTCAGGTGGGAAGAGGCTATGTAGCAATCACTATCCTTGATATCAATGACAACGCCCCTGAGTTTGCCATGGACTATGAGACCACTGTTTGTGAAAACGCCCAGCCAGGCCAGGTAAGAGGCTTCAGAATACCAGCCTCCTCGTTCTTGATTTCTTTAAAAATACCCAGCGGTATTTGCCTTTGAAATCCTGCCAGCTTTAAGATGAACTATCATCAGCATGTTTCAGCAAAACCAACACTTTGATGCATAGCATAAACTAATATTAAAGGAACTTTCAAATTCTGGTTTAATTGGGATGATGAAAAAATTCCTCCAGAAGAAAGGTAAACATTGTAAAAGCCATGGTAGATGTTAAGGGCTTAGGCTTTTTTGAAGAGAAATATAGATGTGGAGCTTGATTGGGCCATTTCCCACATTACACAGCAGGACTTACATACTTTGAAGTTCCACGAATTTAGTGGAGTGTAGGTTCCTTGTGGTTTTGTCTGCTTATCCATATTGTCAGTGTCTTGTGATGTTTCTGATAAGGTATAATCAGTTGGTATGGCTTATTTGTGAGGTTCTCAAAAGTCAGTTCAAATACGCATTTTGAAAAGAACATGATTTGATTTTCAGAACCCTTTTTAGATTGCGTTCCTATCAGTATGTGTGTTAGTCACTCAGTCCGTGTCTGACTTTTTGCGATTGCATGGACTGTAGCCCGTCAGACTTCTCTGTTCATGGGGTTTTCTAGGCGAGAATACTGGACTGGATTGCCATTTCCTTCTCCAGGGGATCTTCCCCAAACCTAGGTCTCCCACATTGCGGGCAGATTCTTTTCTGTCTTAGCCACCAGGGAAGTCCTCATTTCCGTACACCGGACCCTTCCCCAGCTCATTCCCCAGGACGGTATTTATCATCAGTGTTGAGCCGCTCTGTTCTCTGTCAAAAAACACAGCACACCGACATGCTGTCCTGTTTTACATTGTCTGTTCCTTCCTAGGTTATCCAGAAAGTCAGCGCTGTTGATAAAGACGAGCCATCCAATGGCCACCAGTTTTATTTCAGCTTAACAACTGATGCAACAAACAACCACAACTTTTCATTGAAAGACAACAAAGGTAAGGTTTAACTATTGTCTCCAGAGGAGGCAACAGGTAGGCACTTTCTAAACAAGAGAGCTTTTTCTCACTCAGGAATGCTGATGGGAGATTTTTTTTTTTTTCTCATAATAGCAAGGACATTAATTAAAGGGAAATGAGCCCCTCAAGTAATTTTTATCTATGGATTTTCCGTCATGAAGAAGAAACTGCTACTTAAATCATTTTAGGCCTGCATCCAAAGAGGGAAAAAGACAGATTCATCTCTCTGTCTTTTCTTTCTGGCTATTTGCTTCCTTATTTGTATACAAAGCTCTTTAACCAGAGTATCTAATCAGTAGAGGGTCAGCTAAATGCCTTAGTAAGGATTATATTACCTAGGCATAACTTGAGACATTAGGAAAGTAACTGGACCTAACACATTTCAACCTAAATCAACTTTGACATAGCATTTTCAGTGTCAACATCAGTTATTGTTTCATTTTTAGCATAAAAGTAATCCATGGAAATAATATACTCTTGATGCAAAGAAATACAGAATTTAAAAGGAATAACGAATTCCCTGTCATTCCAAATCCCATTTCTCTGCTTCAGAGAAAAGCAGTTTTATAAATGTCATTATAGAAACATTTTCCAAATGTCTGTAGCTAGTTTCTGGTTTTGCTCAATTATATAAACACACACACACACTTATAGCCATATATAGTGTATTTAGTCACTAAGTTGTGTCTGATTCTTACCTGATCCTATGGACTGTAGCCCACTAGGATTCTCTGTCCATGTAATTTTCCAAGCAAGAATACTGGAGTCGGTTGCTATTTCCTTCTCCAGTAGGTAGTATATAGACAATCATAAAAAGTTTTCAAGGAAGCATGAGAACTTGCTATTTATTATCTAACTTGGATGTATGTATGTGTGTGTGTGTAAACACAGAGAGGATTATCAAAAGTTCAAAGTGTTAGTCACTCAGTTGTGTCCAACTCTTTGCGACCACATGGACTATAGCCTGCTAGGCTTTTCTGTTCATGGGACTTTCCAGGCAAGAATACTGGAGTGGATTACCATTTCCTCCTCCAGGGGATATTCCCAACCCAGGGATTGATCCCAGGTCTCTCACATTACAGGCAGATTCTTTCCTTTCTGAGCCACCAGAGAGGAGTATATACCTGAACAATATAGAAAATGTAATTTTTCCAGTTTTAATATGTGAATCAAGTTTCAGAAAAACCAAATGTAGAATGTGTTAGTCCAATCTGAATTACTAAAAAGACTTGCTTTCAGACAATGGACATTGCAAGTGCTTTTACCTGAAGCCCCCAACTATTTTACTGGAGAAAATTCAGCTTTGGCCTCAAAAATTCTATCTGAAAATAATATTTTTTCTGATGCCACTCTGCTTAATGAGGATACTATCTGTTCCTGTTCGCAACATAAAAGGAAGCACATTCTCTGTGTGGGTAATCCCAGGCTCTCTGCCTTCATCATAGTTGGAAAAGACCATACTCAGCACTTGTACAGAGGAGAGTTTAGGCCTGAGAGGGTCTGAATATTTCCCCCACCTATCATCAGCCATCACCACCATGATTGTTGGACCAGCACAGGAACTAAAATGGTTGGATTTTCCAGGAATTCATCCAGCCACACAATTAAAAACTTTTCCCAAGTCAAGCCCTTGCTTATGGGAATCTTGGAGGAAAACATAAGGAACAGGAAGAAGGATCACACCAGTTCACATGTTGGGTTCCATTTTAGGGGGTACATAGAGAACATGGTGAACTTTATGATCTCTTTCGCAAGCATAGGGACATTACTACAAATTTAAAAATCACATATCAGATATTGGACATTTCAGCATGTACTCCCCAATTTGTTGTATGTGTGTGTTATTTGATGCCAGGCATGTTAGATTACAAATCTGCAACTCTGAAAAACCTTTGTGTATCAAGTCATAAATATGTATAACATCTGATCAGTAGGGAGGCAGACTAGTGGGGTGTGTGTGTGTGTGTGTTAAGTTACAGAAACATGCTCAACATAATATCCTTCAACTCCATGTGTAGTTTTTAAATGAACACTCTTGAATTTTACATTTTAAAGGAAAAGATTTGTTTATATAGAAACCTACCAGCTGAACACCAAACACTTTTCTTCCTGCTACATTTGTAATTCCAGTCTCATGAGTGCATGCTCTTCTGGGCTGTTAGAGATAGTAGATGTCAGCTGGCTCTTTGATTAGAGTATTGTTAATTCTTTGATAACACTGTATATTAAAGCACAGTAGATAAAACTATGGTCCCGGTGTTCCCTCTTTTCCATTATATTTTAATTAATTGCTATAAATTTTAAAATCACAGAAATTCCTTTATTAATTAAGGTAACGTAACTGAACAAATTATTAGCAGATTTTAAAAGTCTATTTCTGATATAGAAATTAAAGTTATATCATACAGCTATGTCATTCAGACTTACCACTGTTAAAAGTTTCATAGTAACTAATTGTTTAGATGAAATAAAATATTGAATATAAATTAATTTCAAATGGCCTGATTTATCACTGATAAAATGTTTATATACATGATGTTTTGGTAATGCTATGGGCCTTATGGATTTTTAAAAATTATGTGGCAATTCCTCTTTTGAATAACTTTGTGTACTCTTTTTAATTAAAACAAGAGTGGCTTATTTTACTTGGTTGTGTATTGGGCTTGGAAATTGTCAAAGAAAGGATGGATTGGAAATTTCACCTATCTCTCCAATGACATTACAAAAATATTTAACCTGTTAATTATTATTATCCTTTCTATAAGCATATGGTTTGAAATTTAAGATTGTAAAAATTATATCTAGTATACACTTTTTAATATGATAAATGATGTATAAACAGTTTTCTGTTTAGTTTTACTTTATAACTATTTCTTTGGCCGTAATCATGTAGCACGACGTAAGTTTTTAAAAATGTGTTCAGATGAACCAGTATTTGGAAATATGGCTCTCTGTCAAAAGAAGCTAAGGAGAGTGACTTTAAGTCAGATGAAGTTTGGGGGGGCAGAGTCCATCAGAAATCTTGTATTCTGTACGTTTGCTCTCTTCACCCTAGACAACACAGCCTCAATCCTCACCAGGAGAAATGGTTTCCGGAGACAGGAGCAGTCTGTCTACTACCTGCCCATCTTCATCGTGGACAGCGGGTCGCCCTCCCTCAGCAGCACCAACACCCTCACCATCCGCGTGTGTGACTGTGACGCAGACGGGGTCGCCCAGACCTGCAACGCCGAGGCCTACGTCCTCCCTGCCGGGCTCAGCACAGGGGCCCTGATCGCGATTCTGGCCTGTGTCCTGACCCTGCTGGGTAGGTGCCGTTTGCGATGCTCTCTGTGTCAGAGCAGTCACAGCCGCCGGCGGTCAGGACGTCCCATACATTCTGAGAACACGTGCAGATGGTCTAACCCATGCTGTTTGGCTCACAGAGGAATGACCTTCGGCCACACTTTCCAGTGATAGGGTTAAAAGTGAAACCGTCAATTTTTATTTTGTAAACATCAGTGAAGATAAATGGCTTCTGTTGAAAATGTTTTTAAAGATTTTAAAAAGCATTTACCATATCCTCCAGCCTATTTGTTTTAGAGTTCAGGAGGCTCTATGAGACTAGAGAGAATCTTTTCTATGTTATTTTGATAATATGCTTATTTTAGAAATCATGGCCTTCAGTGAAATCTAGTACTTAACTCCTTAAGACAAGAACTTTCTTTATGTTAGTCTCTATTCTTGCCTGTGTGTTTGAAATACATCATAATTTTTTTAAAAAGACCAATGAATATGAGGGTATAAAAAAAAGAAATGATGACTTTACATCCTGCCTCTTTTCAGAAAAGATTTAAACTACATTTTATTATTTGCAAAGCTCGAAAGATGACAATTTCAGCAGTGCAAAATTTCCCAAGAAGAATTTACATATGTAATTGTACTTTTCCATGATTACTTTATTATGTGGTGAAGCTTGATTTATAACTCATATTAGAATTGCAGTTTTATAAGAGATTATGCAGCATCCTTTTAAAAATTGGAAGGCGTCCAACATGGGCATTGGGTAATGGGTTTATTCCTTTACATTCTGTGAAGGCAAAGTGTAGTTTCCTACAGCGAGGACAGTAAGCATTTAATATTGCATCTGAGCCTGTACTCTTGTGTTTTCTTGGGGCTTAGTATAATTTGTAAATGCATTTATAGTTTTATAAAACCAGAATTTAGCAATGAGAATCATAATTGTATAATATTTAAAAGCAAGAATTTATGGAGTTAGGTAAAACCTAGCTTTTATGCCTGCCTCCAACATGTACTACGAGTTTGAGCAAGCTCTGGGAGTTGGTGATGGACACGGAAGCCTGGCATGCTGCAGTCCATGGGGTCACAAAGAGTCGGACACAACTGAATGAACCAACTGACTGAACATATACGAACTCTTCACCAGGGGGAACATTAATTCTTCTAAGGCTAGCTTAATCTCAAAAGGAGAAAATAATATAGCTAAATTCATAAAGCTGTTGTGAAAATTAAATGATAATTCATGTGCCAACCATCTAGTGAGCATTCCATAAATTTTGTCTTATTGATAAAGCAAGCTCTTAACCTATTAACCAAGGTAAGACCTAATTACGAATATACTGCGGAAATAATCTTATGAAAATGGAAGTTATTACCTTCAGCTAACCAAATCTAGAAGGGCATAAGCTATTTTTTTTCATACAGCTTCATACAGATGGCCAAAACTTTTAGAAATTCATTAGAAATGGCAAGTAATTCCCATTGAAAGTCTGAATATAATGTAAAGGACTTGAGTCAGTTTTGAAAAAGATTGGACCATTGCAAACTGCTTATTATTTCTTTACCAGATTTTAAAACATGTTAATAAGAGGTAAGTTGTATATTTATTTTATAGTAGCTGGATAACCTAGAAGATAAATATTTTCCTTCCTGTGTGTGTTTTTATCAGAGTGTTGTTTTTTTTTTTATTTACAATGTTGTCTTAGGTGTATAGCAAAGTGAATCAGTTCTTACATCTATCTATGTCCATTCTTTTTCAGATTTCCCATATAGCTTATTAGAGAATATTGAGTGGAATTCCCTGCACTGTACAGTAGGTCTTTGTTGCTTCTGTCTTTTATAGTGGGTATATATTATCCCAATCTCCTATTTTATCCCTTACCCCCCTGTGTTTCCCCTTTGGTATTCATAAGTTTGATTTTGAAACCTGTTAGTCTCTTTTAAAGTTCATTTGCATCATTTTAAAATTAGATTCCACATATAAGTGCTATTACTTGATATGTGTCTGACTTACAGATGCTCAAGAGGCACATGAAAGTATGTCTTCTCTGGAGATATGTCTATTTAGGTCTGCTCATTTTTTGATTTAGCTGTTTGGAGATTAAATCCCTTGTTAGTTGCTTATATTTAAGTTGTATGAATTTATATTAAGTTTTGTTCTTTCCCTATTTGGATCTTTAGGTCCAAGAAACTGAAGTTCTAGAACATCCCTTCTAGCTCTGGGTTCTTCAGACACAGTGGAGATGTTAGACTGGCCCACCTTTAGTGTTTATAAGGCATTGGTGGAAATCACTGTCCATTTCATGAAATCAGTGCTCTTCCAGTATGTCCAGGGTTGGCAGCTGGATGTTTAGGTTTCATGCTTCTTTTCACTTTTCTTCCCTGATAAACCAAGACCTTAACAGTATTTTCCTCTGCTTTTAACTGTGGAGACCACTCATGCTTTGATACAACAAGAAAATATTTTCCTGGCTTTATAAATGATAGTAGTACTTAAGTAAAAATATTAAATTGCAAAGAAAAAAATGAGGACAGTATGTAAAAGATGAATCTGCACTGTGATCTGTAAAGATAGAACATAATAACATAGCAGATTCTAGTGGCTCACTTCCAGTAGCAGGTGTGTTCCTCTTTCAAATAAGTGCAAACATACTAAAGAATGAATTGCATTGAATGAGCTGGTACTAAGTGTTAGACGTTAGCTAATCACTCGTAGCTCAGTCGGTAAAGAATCTGCCTGCAATGCAGGAGATCGAGGTTTGATTCCTGGGTGAGGAAGATCCCCTGGAGAAGGGAATGGCAACCCCCTCCAGTATTCTTGCCTGGAGAATCCCATGGACAGAGGAACCTGGTGGGTTACAGTCCATGGGGTTGCAAGAATTGGACACAGCTGAGCAACTAAGCCACCACCATGCCTACATTTCGTGTGAGAAAATTGTGTATTAGAGAAGACAGGCACAACATTATAAGGTGTCAGAGCCAAGGCCTAAACACAGCCCAGACTTCCTCGGGGATGTCCTTTATGAGGTATTTTTCCATAAGTATTTTCTAGTCTGAAAGACTCATGTGTCTCTGGGAACCACCTGTAGATCTGTATATATGGCCGGTCTGTCTGAGATTGTTTCACCTACTGGCTTTAGGACTTCTTTGGTGAACTCTGTCTAATTTAAAGTGTCCTCCACTTAACACAGTCCTCTCAAGCTTGGGAGTATTTTAAATGTGAGCTTATTCTTCATGGCAACCAAAATACACTAGCTGTCTTTAGGCATAAAATATTCATTGTACTTAGGTCAGTTTTTCTGTCTCACGTGAGCCTTCAATGAAATCATTCTAACTCACATAGTTAATGGAGAGGAACTTCGTGATACTCTTTTTAGGGAAAGGAAAGATCAATTTCAGTTGCGATTAAACTTCTTCCTGTGCTGAGGCATGGAAAGCAGTTTCTCATGTATGCAGAGGATTTGCAAATCTCTGGTTTGGTTCTTAAACAGAACTAGATAGGTACAGTCATTGTTCTGTCAGACTGCTGACATGAGAAGTCTGAAATTATCATACACTGAACAATCTTCCTGCATCCCTGCCTCTTCTCTTGATTTGGTCCCGACTTGTGTGGCTAGATGGCATCACTGACTCGATGGATATGAGTTTGAGTAAACTCCGGGAGTTGGTGATGGACAGGGAGGCCTGGTGTGCTGCGATTCATGAGGTCGCAAAGAGTCGGACACGACTGAGCGACTGAACTGAACTGTGTGTGTTTTGAGTGGAATCGGTCAGCCTGCAATCTTCTGTATGTCCCATCCTCTGTAGCCAGTCACCCCTAAGTGCTGTTAATTTCACTTTGACTCTTGAATCTGTGTCTTTCACTGGCTTAATACTCAACTTGATTTTGGCCAGGGTCCATCTTTCCCCTCCTGAATTAATGGCAGTTTCCCCAGTCTCTATCATCTCCAATCTAATGGAAACACAGAGAGAGTAAGCTTTTTAAAAGCAAATGTGATTGCAACACGCCCAGCTTAAAATAAGATTTCTGTGGCTCCCCGTTGCCTACAGACTAGAATCACCTTCTTTCTATGACCTGACTGCTCCCTCTCAGTAGAACCTTCTTGCTCTCCACTCACAGTGTACTTTAGTCAGATTGCAGAGTAGCACTTTGTCAGACTCATCCTGCTTTGTTAACCTCTTCTTAAAAGCTTTGTTCTCTTGCTTGGAATACCCCTCCCCAGAACCCAGCAAGTAGTAACTCCTTTTTGTATTCAGCACTTAACCTGCTTTGCTCCTGAGTCCAAGTGGGGTGCTGTTCCTAAGGCGGCAAAACAATCTTAAAGCATATTTCCTGGCTGATTAATCCAAACCAGATTGTCTACTCGTCTATCTTGTCTGGTGGACCCCTGCTTTTGGAGGCAATGACTGAGCAGTATTTCATCACTGTATATATGTAGCATCTCAGAAAATCATGATCTGACACAGACAAGGCATATATCATACATGATACTGAATGAATCCATGAATGTTTGGGTGTACTCAGTAGTAGAAAAGAACATTTGATTTTTGTCATTATCCCTAACTTGTATTTCTGTTGGACCAGAATGTTCCCATTTCATAATATTCTACAGTTTTAGGCTTTTTTTTGAGATCTGGCCTAAAGAAAAAAAGAAACAAATTATTGCAGTAGAGATTTCACAGAGGTTTCATTAAAATTCAGTTTAAATTTCAGTTAAGAATGCTGTATTTGATATCTATCTGAATCATACACTTGGATTTTATTAATTATAGCTCTTTATTCTTTGTGACTATAAGTAATAGGTGACTCTGCCTAGGCTGCGTGTATGCACATGTGTGTGAGCTCAGTCATGTCTGACTTTGCGACCCCGTGGACTGTAGCCCACCATGATCCTCTGTCCATGGGATTCTCCAGGCAAGAATACTGGAGTGGGTTTCCAGTATATGCCCTCCTCCAGCCTATCTTCCTGACCAGGGACCGAACCCGTGTCTCCTGTATTGGCAGGCGAATTCTTTACCACTGAGCTA